GAGAGGTTTTTGCTATAGGGCACGTGCACTCGCCAGACAGACAGAGAGAGATAGAGATAGAAAGCGAGAAATCACCCCCCAGGGGGCATGGCCATGCTACAATCCCTTCTCCTCCATTCTCCTCTTGGGATCTTGGGCACGCACGTACACGCGCCCGGTGTGAGTTTAAGCCACCAGGTCCAGGACTCGAACCATGCTCGACTACGTGGGAGTCCAGTGACATAGCCATTACGTCAGCTGCTGGTCCTGACTATATCCTTTTGAGACCTAAATCTTTTCTAGGATAAGAGGCAAACCGACGGGCCAACAACAGTCTCCTTAACTGGTTTCTCTTGTCCAAATACATATTATTTTCCAGCAGTTCACGACTGCTGGAAGCTTACTTCCTCCGTCTCCATTTCAAATCTGTGAGCAGTTTTCGCATTGTCATCATGATGTTCTTCTACAGATGTGGCTGAGCAGTATTTCCAGGAGAGCCTGGCTCACCTGAGGGATTGCGAAGGGACGGGAAGAGCCCAATTTCTTTCAATTCAGGATGAATTTTGCCATTTTCTGCAAATCACAGGACAAAAAGAGGTAAGAGATTTCGGATCACAAATGTCTAGTTACTCCCATGACTGACCCTGTGGATATCCAAAGGGCGACTCCTTCACTCTTCCAGCATCCGTGGAGCACCTACTGTGTGCAAAACATGGGCCAGGCTCTGGAGACACAGATAAATAAGGCCGGGTGGCCACATTTGGGGCAGCTTCCAGAAATTTGCTTGTAGAAACTGGAGAACTAGGGGCCAGCAGGTGACCTGGTGGTTAAGGTGCTGGACTCCCACATGGCCAACCAGGGTTCGTGTCCTGGGCCTGGCAGCCGAATTTCTCATTTTCCTTGTCTCTTTCTCTGTCTCTCTCTGGTGAGTGCACATGTCTTGTAGCAAGTCTAAAAAAAATAATAGGAAATAAATTTAAATAGATAATTCTTTTTAAAAAAATACAAGAAAGGAACTGGAAAGCTGTTTATGAGAATATCACTGTCACGTTCACCTATAAAGATCCTAGAACACTAGAAATGCTGAGAACCCTGTAGACAGACCCACCGCCTGCAGGCTGTTAGGACAGAGGATTTAGAATAGATTAGGATTAGAGTATCTAATATCTGATTAGATATCTATGTATCTCATATCTAATGAGATACATAGAATATCTAATTCCTCTCTCCACATATTGAGTATGGAAGAAATTTGCGGGGGGCCAGCAGGCGGCATGGTGGTTAAGGTGCTGGACTCTCACATGGTCGACCATGGTTCGAGTCCCCATACCTGAAGGCTTGAAAATCATGCTGGGCGCGGTGTGTACGTGCCCAAGATCCCAGGAGGAGAATGAAGGAGAAGGGATTGTGGCATGGACATTCCTCCGGGGGGAGTGATTTCTCACTTTCTCTCTCTCTCTCTCTCTCTCTCTCTCTGTCTCATTCTTTGTCTCTTCAGCAAGCACACATGCCCTTTGGCCAAAACTTTTTTTTTTTTTTAAGTGTATTTATTTATTTATTTATTTCATGAGAGACAGAGACTGACAGGGGATGAGAGTCAAAGAGGCTGACACCCCCAACAGCGTCTGCACGCCGTTGCTCAGCCCCAGGCTCAGCCAGCCCGGATCACAAACACGTGCAGGTCCCCGGCGCTCAGGAAGGCCTCAGGGTGTGAACGCAACACCTTTTCCATGCGGGCCCTGTGGCATTCTCACTGCACCCGCAGCTGGTCCCCAAATCAGCGCTACTGATAGGAAGGTGCCCTTTATCCTCCCAGCCTGCCCTTGGAGGGTTTAGTCAGCCAGCTCTTCACATCCTGGGTCACTGGCGGCCCTGTTTTACCCTTGTTTCTTTGCGCGCGCGCGCGCGCGCGTGTGTGTGTGTGTGTGTGTGTGTGTGTGTGTGTGTTGTAAAGTTTTGCTGGAGGATGCATAGAGAGGGATAGAGACAGGGAAAGTGAGAAATCACACCCAGCAGGGATGGCCACATCACAATCCCTCCTCCTCCATTCTGTTCTCGGGATCTGGGGCACGCACGCACACGCACACAATGTGATTTTCAAGCCGCTGGGCCTGGGACTTGAACCACAGTCGGACATGTGGGAGTCCAGCCCCTTAACTACCATCCACCTGCTGGCCCCGATCCTATCATTTATTTTAACCTGACATTGAGCGTTTTAACGGACAGTTTTTTATTCCCTTTGCAGAGAGCAACCGCAGTCCTGAGGGAGTCCTTGGAAGCCAAAGTGGGTGCATTTGGCGACTTCAGTCCGGAGGTGGCAGAGACATACCGACTCCTAGGTGGGGCGGACCTGGCGCAGGGGAACCACAGCGGGGCCCACAGGAAACTGAAGAAGGTAAAGCTGGGGCCAGTTCTAACCCAAGACTCCCCCTCCACCATGCTCCTTCTAAATAAAATTTTATACGTGGCTTCCCTCAGTTTGTAGTCGATCTAAACTAACGCTTCATGGGTAAAAGACATAATTATATTCTTAGACATATGTATTATCCTTTTTTTTAACCATGCAGATTTTTAAAATAATTATTTATTTCATTGTATTTGTTAGTACTTTTTAAAAGCTTGACCAGAGAGGGACCAGCAGTTGGCGTAATGGCTATGTCGCTGAACTCCCACGTAGTCGACCACGGTTCGAGTCCCGGACCCGGTGGCTTAAAACTCACGCCGGGCGCGTGTGCGTGCGTGCCCAAGATCCCAAGAGGAGAATGGAGGAGAAGGGATTGCGGCGTGGCCATCCCCCCTGGGGGGTGATTTCTCGCTTTCTGTCTCTCTGTCTCTCTCTGTCTTTCTGGTGGGCGCACATGCCCTATAGCAAAAACCTCTATAAAATTAAAAAAAAGAAAGGAAGAGATGTTGAATTTGTCAAAAGCTTTTAGACATGAATACAGATCATCGAATGATACTTCTTAGATCACCTAACATGGCGTGTTTTATTATAACACTCAACCTAGTTCACGCTTCTGGATTAAATCCCCCTTAGTCCTGTTGAATGATTTTCTTGTTTCTTTCTTATTTATATATGTGTTTAGGGTTTTGTCCCAGAGTACAGCTCTCACTTTCACATCTCCACATGTACCATCTGAGGGCAGAGCAGACCCCCACTGGGAACACCCAAGCTCATGAGTTAGTTATTTAATTTTATTGTAACTTAGTTTTGAATTTAACCAGAGAGAGAAAGGGAAAGCGAGAAAGTAAGCCATCGGGTCTGGGACTCAAACCGCGGTCGTCCATGTGGGAGTCTAGTGCCTTAACCACCACACCACCTGCCAGCCCATAGACTGGCTCTTTTTTCTTCTTTTTTTGGAGAGGTTTTTGCTATAGGGCGCATACACTTGCCAGAAAGACAGAGAGACAGAAAGCGAGAAATCACCCCCCAGGGGAGATGGCCACGCCACAATCCCTTCTCCTCCATTCTCCTCTCGGGATCTTGGGCACGCACGCACACGCGCCCGGCGTGAGTTTAAGCCACGTGGTCCGGGACGTGAACCACGGTCGACTACATGGGAGTCCAGTGACATAGCCATTACGCTAATTGCTGGTCCCCAGACTGGCTCTTTAAACATGCTCTCAACATCTGCTGCTGACTGGCGTTTCTCAGATGCTCTGGGAAGCCAGCGGGTTTCTAGAGCTACCGGCTGAATGCTTTTCTTGTTTTTGTCACAACAGCTGCATCCCCTCGTTTCCAACCCGGCAGCAGGGATCCACTGAATAGGGGCTTTTCCAGAACAGTTCAGGCGTGGTCCTGTGGGCACAGAAAACAGGAAGGCATGGGAAACGAAGCAGACAGCAGGATTCAATTACAGACCAGGAAACCGTATTACTGACCTGTCTTTTAAAGGCATCTGTCTGCAGGACGAAAATTGGAGAGCTCTGTTGGCTCCGGATGGAAATTTCCACAGTGAAAGCTCACATACTTTTGTAACAGAGAAACCTGCTTTGATTCCAGGCTTGGGAGGGGGCATTATTGCCACCGTTTTCATCCAGGTGAAAGGCTGCGGGAGAATTCCTGAAGACCGTTTCCTAGGTCAGCAAATTTCAGGAATATCCCAGGGCCGTTTATGGGGAGGGGGTGTCTTTAAAAAGTTCACGAATGATATGTATTACGAAATAACTATGCATGGGACCAGCACATGCCATAATGGTTATGTCGCTGGACTCCCATGTAGTCGACTGTGGTTCAAGTCCTGGACCCGGTGGCTTAAAGTCACACTGGGCGCGTGTGCGTGCGTACCCAAGATCCCGAGAAGAGAATGGAGGAGAAGGGATTGCAGCGTGGCCATCCCTTCTGGGGGGTGATTCTCACTTTCTGTCTCCCTATCTCTCTCTGTCTCTCCAGTGAGCACAATAACCCTATAGCAAAAACCTCTCCACAAAAAAAAGAAAAAAAAGGGAACCAGCAGTTAGCGTAATGGCTATGTCGCTGGACTCCCACGTAGTTGACCGTGGTTCGCGTCCCGGACCCGGTGGCTTAAAACCCACGCCGGGCGCGTGTGCGTGCGTGCCCAAGATCCCAAGAGGAGAATGGAGGAGAAGGGATT